TCGCCCCACCCCGAATTAGGTGGAAGGTCCAATTAGTCCTCGCACGTAATCCGCGACTCCCCGAAGGTGGACGGATCGTAAATCTGCATTCCGCGGCGACCCGTTTCCCGAAGGAGACGGGGAGGCCCCATTGAGGACCGCGGGCACGGAGTTGCGAACTTTAAACCAGCCCGCCCTATATAACCTTTTCCTCGAACCTCGAATTAATTTCGCCGGACGGCGATTCGTACCGGGGTCACGTTCCCGAGAAAGACCTCGTCGATGTGGCCGCAAGCTGCGAGCCGTTGCAAGTAAGGGACCATTCGTTCAATGGGGCCTCGGCAGGGCGAGGCTTCATGCGAGAAATCGGGAAATTCACTCCAGACGTGGTTCACAAGGTATCGCCGTAAATTCGGACGTTCGAGCAGTCGAAGAGACATTTCGGATCACGTGAGAAGCAGCGACAAACAAATGCAAGACCAAGACCATCGTTACACGAAAAATGTTGATAACAACCGACCGCTGGCTCCAACGAATATGAAATTACCATAAGACGCATTCCGCCATCGGAAAACTTCCACTGTCTCGATACGTTTTCCCAAGATTTTAAAGATAAAATTTATAACGTTTGTCGCAATTTCCCCACGGTACATCTGACCTCGGTGCCTCTCGTACATACAAAGCGCTCGGTGGCTCTCGTTATTCTACTAAAAAATGAGAGATTTCCAGGTTGAAATTCCACGTTAAACGGCGGGATCGAAATCTCTCCCGAGATTTGGCTCTCTTTCCCAAAACGCTCCGGGCATCCGTCCGAATTTGTTGCCACGGCGATGCTGCTCTTGACCGACAAATTGCTCCGGGTGGCAGCCTCCTCTTCCACCCCGGGCCGGATGCAGTAACGGAAACCCGACGGCTCGATATTCGGTTTACAGTTTCGAGAGCTTGCAGCACTCCTGGGGAGCTATCGGACATCGGACGGAGAAGGGCCGTTCGCTGAATAGGTACGCGGAAATCCCCAGGAATTTAGGAATTCGCCAGGACCCGGGGTCAAGGAATTCCTTCCAGATGTTCCCAGGGTGGCGCCGTGCGTGTTCCCGGAAAAGGGTTTCCGCGTCCTCGTGCGGAAAACGACGAATCTCGAACTCCGGTTAGATTCTTCTCGAGGCGAAAAGCGGGACCAGGGAGAGAATGGACCGTTCTCGAGCTGAAGGTGACATGAAAGGGTCATTCTATGTATGTGTATATATATATATATATATAAAAACCTGAAAATATTGATCAGACTTTTCTCCAAACTAGGTGCACCGAATTATTTCAAACTCTAACACGGAATTATGGAGGCCCTAAGGAAGAAAGCGATGTTCGTGAAATTTCATTTTTTGACAAAAAAATGTCTCTTGGCTCGTGTCCGAGATAAATACAAATTTTTTTTTTCGAAAAATGATATTTCACGAGCATCACGTTCTTCCTTAGAAATCTCGCGGTGAAGTTTCAAATGACTCGGTACACCCAGTTTGAAGAAAAGTGTTATAAATATTTTGAAATTTTTATATATATATATATAAGCGAAACCCGCCTCGAACCAGTCGATTCGAACTTCGTGAACGAACAATTAAGAATAATTACTAACGATTCTCTTTCGTTTGGAAGTTGCGTCTCCAACGCGAAGACGCCCCGAGTTATTATCTTTTATTCTTAGGTGTTGCGAATATTTCCCCACGGCGGGTATTCTCTTCCAGGAGGTCGTCCTCCATCGTCGAGTCGGACCGAATCGAGAGTGATCCGAGCGGAGAAATACGCGCGGTCGGACAGATGCGTGTCGGCGGGTTAACGAAGTCGGCAAGTGCCGCAACGTCGCCGAGAGACACGACCGTAAATTACAATCACCCACTTTCCTCCTTTCCTCCCTTCCTCGGCTCCTGCAGAAGTCGCCAATGTCCTCGCCGGGATCGCCGAACGATATTTACGGCCCCGTCGTATCTCAGCGGACATAAAATAATCTGTTAAACTTATATAAAAAAAAAAAATGAAAAAAAAAATCTAAAGCGTACGGATTTTATCCGCTGAAATAAGGACGGCGGATTACATCCCGTTGGCATTGCGATAAACCTTTGGTTACTCGTTTAAAGTTTTCGATAGTCGCAACAAGGGGGCCTCGTCGGGGCCGAAGGAGCCAATAAATGCCCCCTTTCTTAGCGGCTACTTATCACGCAGGGTTACCCCGAGATTAATGCGGCATTATTCAATGGACGAAGCTGGAATTTTATCCGGCAAACGGCCCCCCATAAATACACGTTGCACCTGAACGGTGTCGTATAAATCAAGGGCCGCGATTTGATAGATTTTCTCGTGGCTCTAGGCAGTCTCCGAGACTGTCGATAATGGCGCGATTTGGCTCCAGCCGTCTTCCTGATCTTGGAAAAAAATTGCAAATCCCATTTTAACGCCCTTGACACGAAGACCGCGCAAACTTTCCGGGAAGAGAGAAGGAAGAGTGTCTTAATCGAGTCGACCGATTCGAGGGGAGTTTCACTCCACCTCGATTTTCAATTTAATCAAAACATTCAAGTCAGTCCAGCACCTGCTCTTCTCAATGTTTCTTAGCGGCACCTGATTTAGGATTTTTATCGCAATTATTCGCGCAAGGAGACTCCCGCCTTGGTAATATTTCCCTTTCGCGTTTCAACGCATGTGGTCGCGTTGCCCATGCCAGGAATCTGGAAAATGCGGTGGACAATGGGTTCCATTATACGCCCAGAAACTTGTACATGTATATATGTATATACGTATGTACGCAATGATCGGGTCAACGGCACGTCACACCTACGTAGGGGTGGGAGCACACTTGTGCACTTGAATTGAATACTTGTCGCCTAACCGGACAGTCCGGCACGATTCCTTTAATTGCAGGCGGACATGCTCGACGTTCCTTCGTCTGGACGGAATCCTGTCGTTCCTAGTCTTAACCCTTTATTACCGCATTACCTCCCGGCGAGGCATTTTTCTATGCCTTTCTTGCCCGCGTAAAACTAATTCATATCTGACGGATAAAAAAGCTATACCACAAACATTGTCACCGTTGCTACAAAACTCGTAGAAAAGTCTGTAACAATGCTCACCTATGAAAAAAAAATAATAATAATTCTAGCTACCAATTTACAGTGAATTTGAGAATAAATTGCGTTACGTTAGCAGAAATTCATTTTAGCAGCGTGACATTTTTCAATTTACCAGCTCTCTCTTCTCGGTATATGCAGAAAGGTCATATTTCATTATCGTCACCACGGTAATGGATTCGCCCGGCACCTACGACACGTACGTGTTTAAGCACTACACCGCGCGTAGATCGCAAGTAAATATTCCCGATAAGATAGGGCATGTACCGAATGCACGTAGCCCCATTGCCTACTGTTCGTTGACACTACGATAAAGAGGAATATACAATAGCTGAAGCAACGAGAGCTCGTAATTAGGGAGGGCATGCCGAAACCCGAATCGACAATTTTTACCTCGTACATGTAACGTGACGATTTACAGTCTATTACGAGAATTTGAACCAATGGGATTAATAAAATCGGACTCAAACATTAAACTGACGGACTTGAATCAAGTTAGAAAAAGTAGGGTAATAACTAGGTTCAACGCCCACTTAATTAAATTATATCAAGTTGCAATAAGTATTTTCCCATTTTTCTACCCTGGATTATTTTCTGTAGAAATTCTTAAAACACTAAGAGGCCCGTTCCACCATCGATTAAATCATTAATTACCTGACCGTATGTCAAAATAAACACACGACTCAATGTAACCGAGGATTAAACCGAGATTAACTGCAATCGTCGGTAGCAAGCTATGTGACAATTGCTTTGTTTAGGCCTAACGAGTGTCCTGATCTTCCTTCCAGGACACATTTCATTTGTTTAACTACCAACAAATAAAAATGATAACGTCTACCCGTTTTGAGCCTACTTCCACAGTTAACAAAAAATTGAAATTTCGAGCGAGTCTTCAGGCTATGCAGAATAAAAAAATTCATCGAACAAAAGAAATATATCTTTGAATGGTACCATTCCGTTAATACGAAGAATAATTATTTCACCCAAATAAATTAATTTGTAAAAAAAATGTATTCTCGAAACAAAAAGAAAAAAGCTTAAACCCGTGGATTTTTTCAACTCCGATTCGCTCCGTTTTCGTCGTCGAAGTCCAACGTCCGTGAAACCGTTTTCACGTGTTTTAACGACGTCATCGGGATAGCACGTGTGCGCATTACTCGCCGTATGTCGACGTACGTGGCGCGTAAAAACGCAGGATTAACATGCCCACGAGAAAGCATTTATTTTCCTCGAAGGGCCACCGCAAGACATAAAGGTTCACAACGCGAGCCGTGAAAACAGACCGCGGAGGGAGAGAAGCAACAATGGATTTTATTTATCACGAGTCGACGGGATCTCAAACGACAAGGCACGTGATCTATTTTTAGCCCGTGAATGGCTAGACCATCCGACTAACGTAACAAACGACATTCGACATCCGATATTTTTTAAGGCACCATCCATAAAGAACAGAGACCAAGGCCTCAATTCTGGAGTTCATTTCATCAACTTTCGCGCGCGAAATTGACAGTTTCATATATGACTTTCAAGTGTCGACCAATGACGCGACTTCGCAACAATTTCAAATTTACCATACGGGAAAAAAATGCGTCCCAGCAGGACCCTATTCTCGAGTCCATCCTATCAACATTGGCCCGCAAAATCGACAGTTACGTATACGGCTCTCAAGTATCGATCAACATCGCAACAATGTGAAATTTTTCGTGGGAATTCATTCGTCCGCGGAAAAAAATAAAAATCCATACAAACTGGAGAATCGGGTCCCAGGGTCGATGAACGGAAAGGTAGGGAATAACATTTTCCTCGAGCGCGATCGACGACGGATCGAGCCGATCCGCCGCTACGCGGGAAGAGTAAACCGATTCCGCGCTAATCTCTCGGCAACGTGACAGGGCCGTTACGCACCAATGTAGACGACGTCCATCTTGAAGCGGGCTCGACGCGGCTCGGCGATCCTCCGGGTGTCCAAGGCCGCGACTCACATGGGCGGCGGTGCGCCAACGAGGCTCGTGGCGTCGCGGGGTCCGGGCGATTTCGAGGTTAGAATCCCGCCGCTCGCATGCCCGCGCCCCGGCTCCCCGGCGTCGCGGAGAAACGCGCCGGCCACTCCCAGGACACTTGTTGATCCGCGCCGGCGAGTCCTCCGACGGGCCGCACGAGAGCGACGCGCGCGGAACGCTCTACGTATGTCCGTGGACACGATGCGGAGAGGCGCACTCTAAGACACCACTCGGAAATACTCGGGATATCTCCTGCGCGATAGGATTCACGAATCAATGACGGGCACGCACCTCCATGGTGATCTCAGGGTCGGCGAGGAACCGTGCCAGCGGCAGGAAAAGGAGCAGGGTGCAAAACACGGAGAGGACGGAAAAGATCCTCTCACGGCAACGCGCGACGGACGACTACCCTGGCCCCGCGCGCCGCGCCGCGGACCGGCAACCGCGCGCCGCGCCGCGAGCCGGCAACCGCGCGCCGCGGGGCCCGTCCCTCTCTCCGCCGACCGCGGCGACACCTCGCGAGGCGCCCGGCAAACGCGTCGCCGGGCCCGGGCCCCGCGCGAGGAAAGATTGGACCTCTAAATACAGGATGTTTAGAGTTCGAAAATTCTCGATGACATCAAATTGGAGAAGGTAACTGTGAAACGTACCGTACGTTACCAAGAATATCGGGAATTCATGAGAACGTCAATCTTTTTATTTATATATTTTAGGTTTCTCTGTTTAAATAACGTATCTTTTCGATGTACTTCGAAGTTCGAGTTAAAGAGTAATAAATGTTATTAAGAAATATTAATTATAGAGTTTTATCTCCTGCCAGTTAAAAAAATGTTCCATTGTCATTGATGGGCAGTCTGCCTAACAGGACGTTGAAATCGAGGCAAGAGAGCTTTCCTCGAAGAACCACGATTTTGCGAAAATTGCAAATGGAAGTTGGTAAGGATAGAACTGGGACTTATAGTAATAGACGTTTAAACGAGATTTTCTGTTCGTCAAGTCAGGTGCCAGTCACCTGGGATGACAAGGCTCCTAGCAGCCCCGGTGGCATGAAATTCGGTAATTCAGTTTCTCTTCCACCAGGTATTCTTGCAGTACGGGTGATCAAATTCTTGACCCCGAATCGACAGATTGGTCCGCTATTTCGACTCGGTCTTCCTCATGTATAGGCATCGATTCGAATCCTCCGTATAATGTTATAAGTGTTCATGAAATTCATACGCTCTTAGTACATAAGGTGATTTATGTTTGCGGTTTCCCATTGATTTCCACATGATTTCAAGCATTAAAATCCATGATCTTCTTTGAGAGCCAATTGCCTTTGATTTCATATGATAAACAACAACGCGTTTCGGTAACAAGGGACGTTCGGCCTAATATTGTGACAGTACTCGCGATTTCGAACAATTTCCACATGATTTTGAAGATTAAAATCCACGATTTCCGGAGTGAATACCCCTTCGACCAGGACACCGTGCGACGTGGCCGGGCATGGCCGACCGAATGCTCGCAAAGGAAAGTCGGGCGGCGGGCCTTACAAAGAGCGACCAGGGAAATGGGCCCGTCTCGGGTTGGCGAAGAGGGGGAACCAGAGAGAGGATCGTAAGGCCCACGGAGGTACAGGTGATCAGGAGAACAGAAAGCACAGGAAGTATCCTCCGGCTAGGTACGTGGGCCTCTCCTGGGCCCAAAGAGCCGTGTGCCGAAAGTGACACCGCTACTTACCGGCGTGATGCCCGTTGCCTTACAGGGAAGGTGGACCGGGAAGATGGTATTTGTAAATGGATCCCCGCCGAGGCCGTAAATTAAACTCGCATTAAAAACTTGAAGGTGCGAAATGAATTTCGCATAGATTCCACGGAGGGCTTCATAAAACTTCCTTCATTACATACTTCATGGGGGTATATCTGGTGTCCCGTGATCTATATTTCACCGCCTAAGTACCCCCGACGTTGGGAAGGGAGGGACTCTGGAATTACCGAAGAAAATAAACGAATTACAAAGAGAGAGCCACTCTCCGTTGAGAAGTTTGAATCGAACCTGGGGATCTTTCTTGCAAATTCGCTGGCTTAAAATATAGCTCGCTTAATCTTCGAGTTCATCAGGGTCCTCTTTCTTTACGTCATTCTCGTTCGCCTTAACGGACTGCCTCTGTACCGTTCGAACTCTTTGTACGCGCGTGTTGCAAAAAGTACACATATCTTGTTTTACGTGAGACCTCTTATGCCAAGGTACCCGGCGAAAACCATTTGTTTCATTGAAAACAAATATGTTTGATCGAAACTTATTTTCTCTTTGTTATACAGTTGAACAAATATATATTTGATTCAAGCATATTTATCTTTTCTTACAAAATATTTCTTTGGTACCATTCAAAGGAATTTTTCTTTGGTTCAATGACACTTCTTTCTCCGGGCACAAGGAAGTGTAGTCATGTCACGCGTTGAATGTAATTTATAATCAGATGAAAAACTTGACGTATGAATTGAGAATTTCCGTCTAGATGCGGCACTCGTCTACCATAATGAATGCAAAAGTCTAACGAGAGTTGATGTCCTTTATATTGATATTAATATATTCCCACAGTGCAATCTGCCTTGTTAACAATGGCACCGATGTCAACAACCTAGTAATATCCTCGTGTTCGCGATGTTATATATTGGCCTAATTGATGATAATGTCAGTTCCCATAGGGTATCCGCAAGCTTGCAATCGAAGCGCCCAGGGCATGATATATCATTCGAATTCAAATTCCTGAAGAGGATTTACACGATTTCAACCCAACCATTGTCAAATTGCGCCATAAATGTGACCAAAAGTTAAATGCATTTCTGTGCGCGATACTTGAACTCTTGTTAGAAGAAGCTAATTGATAATTCAGATCCACGCCATTTAAGAGGGTATTCTCCTTTGATTACATAAAAATGACGCGATTTTTAAAGATTTTTGTCTTAGTAAATATGTCATAAAGTGACGTAAATCTTGTTGCGTTTATTAAGCTACTTTTAAATAATCCAAGAGATTTTAATAATATTGGGTTGCCCGAAAAGTTTGTGCCGATTTTCTATAGGTGGCATTAGGACTTAAAAAAAAAAAATATTGTTAATCTGTGTGTGCGTCGGTATCGCCCAAACCTCGGCAACAATTTTGAAAAAGGGAATTGAAAAAATCGATATTTCGATATTTTCAAATTTATAAAGTAAAATTACCCCTTAATTCATGTAGTTAATTATCGTAACGAATGCTTGGAAATTTACTATCTCAATGAACGTGTAAATTGCTACGTCTCTTTCCGCGTAACATTTTATGCAAGGACAGGAATTATTCCGTAAAGGCTTAATATGATGTAATTAAAGGCGATTACGCCTGGGATTAGATAAATCCCTTCATACATATTTTGCCCATTACAGCCGAGCCGGAGGGAGCACTATGCTTCTTAACACCTAAGTGCAACCCACTACGACAAAAGTGAACAGACAGCTTCCTATTAACGTAATTAGAGCATTTGTCTAGCAACTCGTCGTAGAAAAGACCGGTAGGAAATATGAAAAACGAAAATTACAACCGGCCCTTTTACGATTTACTAGTTGCTGCCTCAGAGATTGTCAAACTTTTCTTGCCGATCATTAATTAAAGTAGGTAAGACAATGCTTTCTTTGTTTTCGAGAGCCCTGGCATGAAGTGCGGGATAAATGCGAACATGAGACGTCTTACTTTTCTTTTTCCTTTTATAGGTATGTATACTTACAAATGTCGTCATCCATTCTGCCTGAAAAGTTTCTCCTCTCTGCATTTAATTCTGCTCTCTCTGCATTTAATTCTTTCTTTAATGGATCCGCACAATTTTCCACTTCCCGAACTATTTACCACGATCGAACACCCGTACGTAACAATTACTCGATTGGACTTATCGTACGGACTTATTGCGGTTTATTATTATTATTTTTTATTACGTCGCCAGCGGCGTCTAATAAAAATCGTCCGCGTTCTTTCAAGTTCCTGGCCTTTGAAGTTTGACGAATAAGTTCTGCGCCCAGCAAACGTATTGGGTTTCTTAAATTATCCCTTGGTTGAAGGAGGGCGGATCTCGTTTGCCTTTGTTCTTTTACAACCCACCCCGGATGTATGGCACAAACCGCAAACGCACGAATTGACGGAGAAACGGAGATGGAAATATCGCAGTAAATGGTGAATTTAATTGATCGATATGACAGGCTGCCACTTGTCATAATCGAAACAATGGTTTAATTAAATCAATGCTGAAACGTGCAACGAAATGCAGGTGATCCGTAATCTTTCCAGCGCACTATGATATAAATGTACAATTTTACTACGATCTTATGTACTGAAATTGAATGAATTTTATGAGTGTTTTTAACAGCATACGAAGAAGCTGAAGAATCTTCTACAACCCACCCCGGATGTACAAATTGTTTCACAAACACTAACCACAAATGTATGAATTGTTGGAGAATCGGAGATGGAAATATCGCGATCAATGGTGAATTTAATAGATCCGTATGACATGCAGCCACTTATCATAGCTGAAACGACGCTGTTTTTATTAAATCAACATTGATACGTGCAACGAAACGCAAGTAATCCGAAATCCCTGCAGTACGAAAGCGGTGATGAACATTCGCATTTGGACGTGTCGCATGACTGAAACGTAAACCGATTATCTCGAGCTATGTACATATACCGATTCTCGATTAAAACCCATTACCGCTAATCGATAAAAACTGAGTGAGTAACCGAAATGCCTGTGACAGGAGACCAATAGCGAGCGGTAATCAATTTGGTAATCCGATCCGCAGACTCGTTTGAAATTTAATAATTGAATTCATCTTAACCGAATTCTTCGATGGTCCGATTAGCCGTTTAATCGGCATAAACGTCAATTCGTATCGCGAACAATGCTTTAACATAAACCGATTTTATTCAGGAGTGAAATTGAATTCTTGGTCGATAGATTCTAGATACTCCAGGACACTTTATTTTACCATATCATCCGGCATTACGAAACGACATTACAATTTTGATAAGGTGCTCTTTACGGTTGGTTGCACATTGGTTACATCCGTGCATTGTGATTCGAGACTCGATGAAGATGTAAAACGGTCGAACCGTCGTCTTGACATGAGTTTGATATATTTATCACACTCAATCCTTTCCATTATGTAATTGCTGTCTGGTTACAGTGCTCTCGAGGGCGATACAACAAATACCCTTTATAAATCAAAACGAAATCGATATGCCATGGACGATAAACATTTTCAATTACGAATTGCTGATCACGCGAAAAGAAACAATGGAACAAATTTATTTCCGTTCGAACGGTGGTACCGGATTTGTACGTACCAGCGTACAATATTACTTTACATTAATTC